CGCACATCCGGTCGCAAGCTCTTGCCTACAATACCTCGGGATCTGCGGTTAAGCCCCGGTCGCGATGGGAGGCCGCAATATGAAGTCATGACGGATACAAGCTGCCTGCCGGAAACACTTCAACGCCGCGACCAACGCCCCTGCCGCCTCTCGCGAAGACAGAGCAGAAGTGTATCACGAAGCACACCTTGGGGGCGTAAAATCGGGCGATCGCGATGGTGAACCTGTCGTCTACGCCGCGCCGCGAGATGCCGTCTGCCATGCAGAGCGCCGCCACCAGAAACACCGCCGCGGCCAGGCTGCGCAGCATCTCGCTCGCCAGGCCCCACGACGCCGAGCCGGGGGCCCCGCGAAGGTTACCGACCAGGTAGAGGGCCACCGACAGCCCCACGAAAGCCAGGCATTTGTGTTCGAACTGTGGTCCGCCGTCCTGATTTCGTTTGAGGTAATAATGTGCCACGACAGAGAGAGAGAGACAGACAGCGAGAGACAGAGACAGACGGAGACAAGGGGAAAGATAAGAGTTGATGCATGTATAACCTGGTCAAGGATCAGCATCAACGTAGTGTGCCAGACACAGGCGTAAAAACAGATTCCGAACGCGTAGAATAGACAGAGCGACCAAGGGCGTGGACGATTGGTGAGCCAAACCACAACCTGCCATCGCGTGTGAAAAAAACCGGGAGGTAAGGATGGGCAGCCATACAGCAGTACCAAGGTACGGGGGAGCTCCCGACACAACAGCGTAACATCCGTGCAACAGTTAGCATCGAGTTGCAGGTTTGTGGCCTCCTGCAGGTGTCTACCCCTGGTCGAGGGACGGCTACCTTGCGGGGCGGGCGGTGGTAGGGCTCTCGATAGCATACATACCTCAAAACCTCCTTGGCGGCGAAACACGGCGTGGCACCACCACAGGCACCCCGCCACCCACAGGCCCAGCGCGCACGCCACGGCCACCCCCGACCCTCGCCCGGCGCCCCTCGTCTCGTACGTCAGCGTCCACCGCGCCGTGGTCAGCCCCGAGAAGTCGACCTCGCTGCTGGTGCTGGTGCTAGAGGTGGTGGACACGAAGCCCACCTGGTTTGTAGCAGAGGCGAGTGAGAGACGTGCGCAACATTGCGGAATTTTGGACGGCGGGGGGGGTGTTGTGAAAAAACGGTTGCGGGGGAAACAATTGCCAAAAATACGGCCAGGAGACCTACAACAACAGCGCCCCTACATGCGGTCCCCGCGGGGACCCAGCGGTCACGTTTCCAGTTGTATTCTTTTCCGCGCTTGTGTCGGTGGATACAACCATTCTTGTGGTTCTTGTGGCTCGGACCATGGGCCGTGGGATCTGCTGCGATGTGGCATGTAGATTGCACAAACCACTTCTGTTACGAAAAAGGCGTGTTTGAGTGATTGGGTATGGCCTTCTGTAGCAGAACGGAGAAGGTCATGCGAGGGCCGAAAACCACACGCCGAGTTGCGCCTAGCGAAACGTCCGTCTCATCGACAAACCCCAGCGAGGGGAGGCGTTTATCGACCCCTACGCCCCCATCACCCAACGGCACACAAACGCGGCAAAAACTCCACCACGGCGTTCCGTACACCAACAGAAAACACTCACCAGCACGCGATACTGATGGATGATCGCCTCTCCCCGGACAGTCTCCTGATTCTGGCGAAAGTTGAAGATCTCGTAACCCCTGTCGGATGACGGCAGGCCCACCCCCGAGGAAACAGCCACGTCCTCCTGCCGCAGAGAGGACCCGCCAAAGATGGAACACGTCAATACGGACGGTAACGCCGACACCACAACGACCATACGGCACAAGGGCAAACCAAGGGTGCGATGCAAGGCGCGGCAAGAAGCTGAGACCTGTATATATCAGTCAGCCGCTGACTCGGGAGGCGGCGGGAGAACACCCGAGCCGGAGAAGAGAGACGAGCAAGGTGACAGGCATGAAAGCAGTCGCAGCAGCCACCTCACGACAACAAGGGGGGAGTGCACAAAGGAGGCTGGCGGACTACGTGCCGCCAACACCAGGGTACAAGAGCAAAAAACTGTACATGGCATAAACCGCGGGAGATTGAAGGAATGCCGGGAAAAGCTGCGCTACGCGTGATCTCCCCTGAACCTTCCGCAACAGCAGCAGTAAGAAACCGAACCCCACTCTTTCCTTCCCGTGGAGCACACACGCGGAATGGGCATCAGCGTGAGAAAGAGACAAAGATAGAATTCAAACAGCGCGCTCGCCGACCAGAAACAAGACAGGGGTTGGGGGGGAGAACCCCCAACCTGGAGTTCCACGGCAATAGAGAAGGCCCGCACCTGGAACAAAACCGGCTGCCAGCCCCCTTCGCACTCGCCCCACGCCCCCGCCGCCCCCGCCGTGCACGCCTCCACCGTGACGTCCACCACGACCGGCTCCGGGAGCGCGTCCACCAACCCTAGCGTCGCCTCGTCGGTGAAGGCCGCCCGGAGGGAGACGCTCCCGTACAGGCCGGTCAGGCCGGCGAAGTCCCCCGAGAACACGGCACCGTAGCGCGCCCGCTGCTGCTCGGTGGCCGCCGCCAGGGACGAAGACGACGACGACGAGCTGTAGGAGAGGAGGGACTCCGCGGACGGCGAGAGGTCCGTGCAGCCGGACGCGGACGCGGCGCCGGAGGGGTCCGGACCGGCGGCTGCGGCAGAAGTCGCGTCGCTGCCGCAGACGTTGCCGGCGCCGTAAGCGCTCCCGCTGCTGATGCTGATGCTACTGCCGTCTTCGTAGGCCCAGGGGACGCTCAAAGTGGAACTCCCACGCAGCATGCCGGTGAGGACGAGAGCGATTCCCACGGCGTACACGGCAAGCGTACACAGCGCAAGGGAGGTTACCGCCACGGCCGGCAAGACCTCCGCCAGGATGATCGGCTTTGACTGGGCGGTCAGGCCGGGGTTTTGAAGTTCTAGCTCTTCTTGAAGGGCTGCGTTGAAAAGGCGGGCAGCGGCACACGCGTTTTTCGCACCAATGCGAACGGGGGAGAAACGAGCGGGGCGACGCACGGTGCGGTGCGGTGCGGTGCGGGGAAAAAATAGGTGATTGGGGGCCGGGTATAGGCGGAAGACAAACAACGCGCTGCTGCTTGAAGCCGACCACTTGAAACCTCCCCAGAGGGCCAAACACCAAACGCCCTGACACCGGAGAAGGAAAACCAACCGAGACAAAAGGCCAAGCAAGCTGGTCCTTTTGCCGCGTGGTTTAACCGCAACCTACAACAGCCCGTAGTCTTTTCTTCTCTCACCTTCCAAGATCTGCCTGGGCCGCGGAAACCGCTCCTTGATGCTCCTAGACATGGACACTGCCCCCCGCCTACCCGCACCGATTCCTCCGTTGCTCGCTCTCTCCCCGTTCCGCGAGAGCTGCTCGGGCCGCGGCGACCGCTGTTCTCCTGCGACTTTAGCTCTCTCCGTCTCCTCTCTAACCCCCTGCCGTGCCCTGATCGAGCTCCTATTACCCTCTCCCTCGCCTTCGTCCCCGACTCTATCGTCAAAAGGGCCACCCCGTTCCGCTGGCACTAGCGACCCCTGGGGCCAGTCTGGTGGCTCGCCTACCACTTCGCTTTCGGGGCGTGCGCTGCGGTGAAGCCGGGTCTGAGATGACGTTGAACCTGCCAGGCGAGAGACAAGAGGAGTTAAAGGAAGGTTTAACTCTGCTGGAATCAAAGCCAAGTGATCCAACACCGCCAATAAGAACTTCTCAACCACGGTGCGGGTAGAGCCATACGTACAACGCCAGCCTATTCTCTCCTCACCCTGCGACGTGTGTTCGGACCCAGACACACGCCCCGTCGAGCTCTCTTCTGCCGCCCCCGCCGTATCCCCACCCTCTGCCCGTACTCCCCCACCATCACTCGTTTCCTCCGCCGAGCCGCCCCCGCCCTCTGCTGGAGACGCCGCCGACGTCTGAATCAACCCGCCGCGGGCAGCTGCCGCCGCCACCGGCAAGCCTTTTCCTTCTCGGGACCCCTCGCTTGAGCCACGGCGGTGACACCCCGTAACCGAAATCCCACCTCCACCCAACACAACTACTCCGCCGATGCCTCTGCCCTGAGCCGAAGAAGACGAGGACAGGAGAACCACCTGTTCCTGCTGCTGCTGAAGCTGCTGCTGCGCGGGCGGCGGCGGCGCGACGCCTGACCGTGGGGCGAAAAACTGGCCTCGCTTCTGAGAAGAAGAGCCCGGCGTAGGGGGGCGTACAGGCCGGCGCCTGGACCTCGAGCTCGTGCTGCTCGCCGGTGCCTGCGCCTGTGCCTGCGCCTGCGCCTGCGCGGGGGTCGTCGTCTCGCGGCGGGAAGCAGAGCCGGCGGAGCTCGGCGTCGGCGGGCGCCCCATCCCGACACTGCTGCCGCTTTCGCCGTCGCCGTCGCCGGCGGCGGTGCCCGTCGTCTTGGGCCCCTCCTGTCGTCGCTGACTCGGCCGGTCGCCAGCCGTGTTCGGGGCGGAGGGCGGCGGCGGCTGCGGCGGTCGCGAGCTCCATCCCCGTCCTCCGCGGTGGCGGTGGCGGCGGCGACGCTGCTGCTGCTGCTGCTCTTGCCCACCGCTGCCGCCCTCGTTGGACGAGGAGTCGAACGACGACGAGAAGGGAGACGGCGGCGACGCCGTCCTGCCCGAGGAGAACACCAGCCGCCTAACCTCGCTCAGCGGAGGGATCACGTGCTGCCTGCTGCCGGGCCGGGTGCTCAGCGGGGGCAAGCCCAGCGGCGGCGAGGCCGCCTCCGCCAGCGGCGGCGGGGGCTCAGTGGCTCCCGACATGGGGTTCGCTGGCGTCACCGCCTCCGCCGCCGTCGCCGTCGGCTCATCCACTCTCGACGCGGCGCTCGCCGACGGTCCGCTCGGTACCTCCTCCGCCCTCGGGACATATATGCCAAAAGCGTCCGGCCTCGGAGTCTCGAGGAGCTGCTCGTCCTCGCAACTATCGCCAGCCTTGTGGTCGCTCGGCCCGGTCACAGATTCCACCACGGGTTCCAGGCGCTCGACGTCGCGCGAGTCTCCGAAACGATCGTCGTCGGCGTCATCGTCGTTATCTTCGCCCCTGTCGATGTGTTGGTCAACATCACGAGCAATCAACAGGCAAGGCAGAAGGGTAGCGTTGCCATGTCGGCACCAGAGGCCATGTGTAGATGTTGTCGCAAGGGATTCTCCCGTCCAGGCCGTCCGAGGTTCGGCGACGAAGCAAACACACGCAACAGGGCCCTTGCGCCGGCGTGTAGCGGACTACGCTCCTAAAATTAATTTTTCTAACGTGGACCAGACGGCTGAAGATTTTTCTTGAGAAAAGAAAACACGGCAACTCACTTCTGTCCACCACGGACTGTATGGTGAAGGGTCGAAAAAAACACCAAAAAAGCTCTTGATTGATATCCCCCTTGTGAGTGACACCGGCCTACAAAAAAAAGTGTGAAGTACATATGGATGGCGTCCAGAAGAAAATGGGATGATACGGACATGTCTCCCTCTTCAAGCGCTGAAGAGCAACTATGGGATACTTGACCTACACATCAGCAGGAATAAAGTACATGCTGATTGCCTAGTCTGTGGGTAGAATCTCCTGTTGTTGAGATACCGCCGGGCTGTACGTGATTCCACCACTCACGTCTCCGTCAAGGACCGCTGGCAAGCAAACGGCAGGTAACCTTATCGTGGATGTACAACAGCTGTAGATACTTGCACGAACAATGCCTAGGTGTCTTTCAACCAACCCGCAAGTGACTGCTGTCATTTTTCGGCAAACTAGACGTAGTACAAACACGTACCAAGCGCGGCCGTTGGGTTCAAGACGTAAAAACCGTTTCACGCCTTGCAAGCCTGTCACAAGACCTGCCATCCATTCGTCCGTCTGTACACAAAAAGCAATGGATGACATGGATGAATTACTACGGCCCAATGATTAACCACGGCTGAGATACAACTAACCTAGTCGGCAAGTCTGACGGTCCGATCAAGCCGAAAAGTTTCAGGTTTGAGAGGCGGCGTTCTATCTTGCGACTGGAAAAAGTCTCATGGAGGAAGGAGGGACAGAGAAGACGGAGAGGTGAAAAAGTAAGCCCGGCTGCCGAATACGGCCTCGCGAGTCGCCAAAATACAGGGTTCGCGTGTGTTTCGGTATGTAGTCGTTGCCCGTACATATATAGTACGTATTTAGTAGTAGACTAGTTGTCTTGTGCCAACCAATTTATTCTGGAAGTCGATGTTTGCACCCTTCGGTACAATGTCCGGTTGCACCACCAGCCGCTGTCACACCGAAGGCCTTACACCAGGAGGTCTTCATCCGCCTTGCTCCTGCGGTGCTTTTACCTGAACTGTTATCGCGACAAGGATTCAGCACTTCCTTGACCGCTACACAGCCGCACATTCACCGAGTCCTCCCCGGTTTACCGGTTTTCTACGATGAACCCCTATTGTTTTTGCTCTGTCGTCACCATGAGAAATCCCACAGCAGTACATGTACATGTAGAAAACAACCCAGAGGCCCCTGTAGACCCAGACAAAAGATTGATTACCAGTGGTCACAATATGTAACACGTCCGAACATCGCATACAACTGACAGAAAAAAACACTGTAGTTGTAGGAAGGCTCAAGGGAAACAAACTGCTCGAGATGTCGTCTGATTCCAACGGTTTCCCAGCTGTTGCTTTGCCTTTCGTGCTGTTGGTCAATCGCCAATCGGCCGTGAGATTGCTGTGCCGACAAGAACTCACCTAAGAAACGCCCGGGAACATAATAGTCGAATTCATGAAATATTTCGAAGGTTCACATGGGTTGAAGAGGGATGTTCCGTAATTTGAATCCATGAATTAGACAATTAGAGGCTTGCTTTGAATCCTCGGTGTGGGCAGCGGCAGCGGCACAGCGGTGTTCAGAAAGATCGACGACATCAACACGCACCGTAGGATCGCGATCGACAACCATGCGGAACAAACAAACAACAGCAGTCGCAGTTGTACAAGGCAGTTCACCACATACTAGCACAACCACAACACCATAACACCCACCTCCCAGTGGCATGCTCATGATCATCACGGTCACCACCACCACCACCACCACCACCACCGCCATCCTTCTCCTCGTCGTCGTCCCAAGTTTCGTTCCGGGCCGCGGCGTTGGCGGCCCAAGGCCTTAGCTTCTGCAGGTCGCCATCGCTCCCCTGCTTGGAGCGAGACAGCGAAGACGACAGCCAAGACACAGAAGAATCCGAGGAAGACGGGGGAGCTGGCGAGGAGGGCAGCGGGCTGCTGCTGCCGCTGGGGTCTTCGTTGTTGCCGCTGGGCGCCGTTCCTCCTCCTCCTCCTCCTTCGGCCGTTGCTGCTCCGGCGATGGTCGCCATTTGTCGTGGTGGCTTTCACTCGTCGGTCGGTCGGTCTGTGATGATGGGGCCGTTTGGGAATGTGTGCTCGGTAGGCGCCGTCGCTCTCGATATGGCCCGTTCCTTACCGATGTGACGAGCAGGTTTTGTATTCCGGACACGCACGACAGCGAGCGGTGCGGTCCTTCCAGCAGGGAGGAGATACGACGAAACCAACCCGAGTGTCGTCGAAAGCGGGGAACGAGGCACGGATGGCGAAGGCTGGCGGATGTGTACATCTATTTTGCTACGAGGTCGATGATGAGGGCAACAACGAACGGCGTCGCGCCTCTTTGCTATAACTTGCTTATGATCTGCGCGAAAACGAAAGGGCCGACGAAAGAGCGCAAAACGGTAGGGTATACGCAAGTGTCTCCAGTATTGTGCGTTTTTTGCCGCTCTTTTCAGAAGGGTGTGTACACAGAGGCAGAACATACGTTATTGCACCTGGGGCAAGCTTGCCTGGCATGCGTACATACAGATGGATACCAGCCCGGCCCCAGTCCGAACAAAAATCCATCGACTACAATGTAGAGTGGAACAACAATCAATTCAAGTATTTGCCTTGTGGGCCGCAAGCAGAAAAATATTGAAGTTTCGACGTTTCACGCAATGCTGCTGACACCCGAAAACGTTGAAGAATTCGGGCACGCAAAAATGGTCCATTCAGCAGCTACAGCAGTCTAAGGCCTACATCGAAGGGTGCAGCTGGACCGTTTTGAATTGGCAGGAGGAGGAGCAAAGAAGGCTAGGGGAGACAAACACACAGGAGTAATGGCTATACACATCACGACGTTCAAGGAGCGAGACTGCGCGCGAATGGGAGCGCTCATATATATGCATATCTCCTGAGAGAAGTGAGATAACTGGACGCAGGGAGACTGAATTGTCTGTTCGTGTGAGATCCCAGGATGATGAACAAATTGTTCGAGGCCGTTTGGGCCGCCTCGCCGCCGAGTGGGATTTCGGCGCCTGGCGTGCGCGCCTCCATCAGCTCCCGTTCACCCTGATACACAGCAGTGAGACGGAGTCCTGCTTCTAACAGCAGCGCTGAGAGAGATAATGCAGTGCGGACTGACGCCGATCTTCCCAGTGAGGGTGCCTGCTGTCTCAACCTCCTGGGTGCGGACTGCGTACCATTTGAACGAGTGAACAACCCTCAGCAACAATGGTAGGCTATAATAAATAAATAAGTCCTACATATGTTGTTGTGCTTCGTATTGGTTTAATATTCATGTAGAGTATGAGACATTAAGTGAAAGTTTTCTGAGGTACATCTGCAATTGTTAGTTGTCGGATGGCAAAAAAAAAAAATGGTATATGATGATGACAACCAGCAAGCTCTTGAAGCAGGGGGTACGCGAATTGCGACACCCCCCCGCAGCCAGCCTGGTGGTTCACGCAGCCGCCCGTGGTGAGAACGACACACGGTTTTTCCGATGCACGTGGCGCTGGACCAACTCGAGACGCTCTGGCCCCCGTATCGGGGTGCGCTACTTCTCGGTGCTGCTCGGGAGTCGCAGGGACGCGTGTGTAACACAGGCGTCGCCGTTACCGCGGGCCATGTTGCTCTCTCCCTCTACGTGTACCCTGCGTCTTCTGATGCTGCAACAGCAAGAGGCGCCGCGGGCAGCACTAACACAGAAGGCAACCGCCACACAGGAGATGGTGTACTATCATCCGCAAACACAGAAACAACGTCAGCAGGAGCTGATACCTATGCGTCGGCGTTGGCTGAACCCGTTGGTCCTTCTCCACCGCCGTTGCGCCTCACCGTCTTGCTGGACGCCGTGCCAGTTACCGCCCCCACACCCGGCACTCCTCAGATGGCCAGGTTCCTAACCAAGGTTCTCGCAGGCGCTGATGGTGCTGCTGCAGGGTCGGCTAGGAAGGGAGAACGCTTACTGGGAGAGGACGTGCCGGAGATGCTTGTTGTAGAGCACCTTGACGAAGTGAGATGATGAGAGAGTCAGAAAAAAGAGCGGGACGGAGAGGCTCCCCCAGTGTTCGAATTTGCGAAACTTGGCGAAACGTAACATATCCGGCGGTTATCGTTCCGACGACTGCGGCTGCAGCTGTGTTGCTATTTCCGGCAACTATTGTTAGGCTGCAGTCGGCCCACAATAGTCTCGCCCGAACGAGATTGCAGCCAATAAGTAGATAGCAAAGCGTGCTCACGGTTTGCTTCCGTTCGTCTGGACGTGTGTACTACTTTGATGATGCGCAATCTCTGGTCCCGAGCGGTACCACAAGGTTGCGTGTGCATGTTTTTTCACGTCTCTATGATCCTCTGTTGCTTCCGTTGTTGTCGTACTTTGTCCTCGGCGGTTACACCCGACCGGTGAAACGAACACAGGTTGTGTGCAGCGAGTTTGTTCGCTGTGACCGTCGCTCGGGACCATCCGCTACCAAACATGGCGGCGATGGGTCAACCAGAAGCAACAGCAAGAGCCGTAACAACGGCCTAGTCTACGCGTGTGTCGAAGCCAGCGGCTTGTTACGCCTGTGGGAGTGGGGGGGAGACGCGAGTGGCCTGTGGAGCTGGAGGTATCTCAACAGCTGCAACATATGCGCCTGCCGGGAGGATCCGATCGGCTGCCGCGTGTTGACAGCCGCGATATTCCCCGAACCCGTCGACGGCGAGGGCAACGGTAGTAGCAACAGGCGGAATCGGCTGGTGTGGGAACAGGAAGACAGCGGGGAGGGAGCCGGCCTCGGCCTAGCCTCAACTCCTTCCACCGACCCGCGATCGTCGCGTAGGGTGTGGTCTCGCAGGGTGTCCTTTGATTTGGCGGAGGGAAGTATAAGTGGCGGTAACCTCGGCTCCGCCCACCAACAGCAGCAACAGCACGCTACCGAAGAGGGCACCGGGGCCGGGTTCGGAAGTGGTAGCGCCAGCAACAGGACCGTGGGCTCGAGATCGGAGATTTCGCTGGCCTTCTCGGCGTGTCTCTTGCCAAAGGGGGTCGACGAGCTGCTCTGCAGCCGGCTGGGAGTGTGGATGCCGACCGGCCCGCGAGTGTACTTGAACCATTTCCCCACGGGTCGCTTGCATTGTTTTGTCCTCCCAGGCCTCAGAGACAGCGGCACCGGGGGAAGCGATGCCTGTGCCATTGTCCGAGAGGGAGGTCGGCTTGACAACCGTCGCGATGCCCATCGCGGTGGAGGCGCAGACGGGAGGGGCACCTTCACGGAATCGGAAAGCGGCTCGGGATTCAGAGAGTCGGCCCTGAGAGAAGGTGGCGGCAGGGGCGCAACAAATTCTGACGACGAAGCCACCGCCGAGGACATTGCAGAGAAGGCCTCCTCGCCTGCTTCTTCTCCGCGATGCCTGCTTGCCGTGCACGAGCCAACCGGGGACCTCATGTTGTACGACCACCATCCCCGCGCTACCGTGCGCGTGCTCTCTCTGCCGCCGGGGTCGGGCGGTCTTAAGCTGCATGTGCAGTGCACGCTCGATATACCGCCGGTCCTGGGGTCCCCACCACATTCTTTTTCGGTACGCTCGAACGTTGCCGCATTTTGTGGCGGTGGGGTTTGCTCGATGTACGACCTTTGCACCGGCTATCTTCTGGGCACGGCGGACATCCCGCGTTGTAGCGCCTGTGCGGCAAGGCGCCGTCACATGTCAAAGACGTGTGGTGCTGACTCTCTGCCTTCGGCTTTGTCCTGCTCGTGCGGGCGGCGAGAGGGGCTAAGTGCGACTGAGCTGCTTGATGGTCGATTAGCGGCCTCCACCAGCCCTAGATTGTGGGCATCCGCGACACGGGGGCATTTGACAGGGATCGTCACAGCTACGCAGGTGCTTCGATTCAAGCTTCCTAGGATGGAAGAATGCCTGCGAACTATATTTGGGCCTTCGCGAAGAGGTGAGGGGAGCAGGGGTGATCATTATGCATTTGTTGTTTCCTTGCAGAGGAGACGACCAAGTTGATTTGGATGCGCCTCCGATGTGTCGTTGTTTGGGGGATCACCTTTTCATATCCACATAATATTCGTCAGCTGTATGCATAACTGCGGCAGATTTTTGGGGGCTATACTGGACGTGATTGGTTCAAATCTGTGCCGATCTCTTCACTGAATTCCCGCCGTAAGTACCCTGCCGTAAGCGCCAACTTTCGGACACCAATGCTTTTCCCTGTTCTGCAAACCATTTCCTGTGATATTCATACCACGGTCGACTGTCCATGTTTTCCCCAGGTAACTCGCCGCCGCCGCCGGCACCGAGAGTCCTCCGTTTCCTTCGCGAGTACAGACGGCTTCTTGATGGCTCGGCGAGCGACTCGTGGCCCGTGTCGCTTCTGCCGGAGCTCCTCCGGCTGGTCCAACAAGGCAACAGTGCCGACGCCAGCCCAACCAGCAGCCAGGCGACACTGGGAGCACAAATTATGAGCCTCATCGGACACACTTTGGCCGGCGAAGAACGAGGTCGTTCAGACTTAGCGGCAGTGGCAGAGACCGCCGCCGCACACAACCCTAGAGGAGCTCCGGTCCCTCCGTGGCTGTTTTTGGCCATGGTGTCTGCGGCGCAGAACCGAGGGAGAGAGAGAGGATCTCCATGTACAGCGGAGGCTGGTGTCATACACGGAGCCACGAGGTCCGGAGGGGGGGATCCGGCCACGGCCGCTACCGAAGAAGGGCTTAGAAACTTGCTGGAGAGGCGTGTTTCCGAGTCGCTGGGCTCTCTTAGCAGCGTGCGGGCCTTGCTGCAAGACCCCGTCGGCTCCGCCCGGCAGCACGTGGGGGACGGAAGGATAGGTGCTTTGCGCTCCGCGGCGGATTACGAAGCGGCGATCAAGCTCGCGGCCCTGACCGCGGACGTGGATCCCGCGACCGCTCTCTTCGAGGGGACTCTTCGAGAGTGGCTGGCGAGTCGACGGAGGGTTAAGGGGGAAGGGGTTTCGTTCAAGGGAGGCCCGCGGCCCGCCGAGGGGTCAGTTTTGGGGGGAGAGCAGCGGCCGTCCGGTATAGTTTTGGGACAGGTGGAGGTGGCGGATGCGGGAGAATCGCGTCCCGTGCTTGACGACGCGATGGCGCTCGCGTTTCGGTGCGAAGCCGCCGATGACAAGGAAGCGACGGTGGGTGATAGAAAAAAGGCATCCGGCGTGCGTCTGGTTTCGCGCGTGGCGCGTCTGTCTTGATTGGTTTGGCAGACTCGATAAGAAACTGGTTGAACTGGCGTACGCTTGGCAATCGTGTGACAATTTTCGGTGGCCCTGTGGAGTCCAGCACTGGGCTGCATCGATCGGTGTTTTTTTGTGAGGGTACTTTTCTTCCGTGACCGACGATGGGTTATCCGAGAAAAAGCATTGCATGCGTATGTAGCACCAACGATGTGTTACACGAGAGACGAGGGAAGGATACATATATCGGCCTCTTGTTCTCGCTCACCTTGGGTTAGGGTTAGGCTAGGGCTACGACGAGTTGTTGTCGGGCAATGCAATATTTGTGGTGCTTGTTCCATGCCCATCAAAATATTTACCCCATAAAATATGTTTTGCCACCGTCGGCATTCCCCGACGGCGACTTCCTTCTCCGCGGTTCCCGACTTTATTTTTGTTTTGCGTGTATGCAGGAGATCCCGTTTCTACGTTCTTTGCTGGAAGGCTTGGGAGGGGCGCAGGACCCCGGCCAATCACGGGGCGGCCTCGGTGGAGCCGCGGGGGGTGGCAACGGCCCGGCAAAATATGGTGGCAACGGTGCGGTAATCGCCTCGCCGTCTTCGGCCTCTTCGACGTTCCTGTGTCTCCAGCTGGTCGGCGACGACAAGTCGCCGCTGTTCGAGGTTGCCTGCCGAGCGCTCTTCCGCTTGCTCCCGCGGGAGCTCCCGCGCTTCATCGAGCGGCTGGCCCGCTTTCGTTCCTACGCGGACGAGATCAAGAGGCGTGAGGCCGGGGAAACCGAAACCGCGCCGCAAGACGTAAGCAGCGACGAGGAGGGGGAGGGGAAAGAGGGGGACAGGCAACCGCCTTTGCTGCGACGTGGGCGGCAGCGTACGTCGTGGTCGTCTGGTGACGTCAGGTCGGAGGCGACATTGAGGGGTGACGGCGGCGGCGGCGCCGAACACGGAGATTCATCCACCGTCTCCGGTAGCGACGAACATGACCAGCACCGACCAACGAGTCCGATGTCGCGTACCGGTACCGCTTCGCGGCACCAGAGCGAAGACAACGCCTCCGACTCCGGCGGACGAGTGGGCCGGCCCCCCACGCGCGGCAGCAGCGGCGCCGGGAACTCTCGGGAGCGCTCGCCGGAACAAGCCGCGCCGGTCCCCGCCTCCCCCATCCCTTCTTACCCACGCGCTGCCGACGACTCCACTCACCCTGTCACCTCCCCTGTCGACGCCGCCGTATCTCACCACCAGCCCCCGGGAGAGGAGAGGTCGCACGAGACCCCGCCCGTTGCAACGGCCTATTTCTCCCGCGCCTTGGCGTGCCTTCCCCCCGCCGTCGAGGACAACAGGAGCGACGGTGCCGGGTCCCAGCGGCGCCGCGCGCGCCTGTCCCTCCTCCTGGGCGCGCGCAATTTTACGGAGGCCTGCCGACTGCTTCGCCACCGCGCGTGGGGGTGTTTCGGCGGCACCGGCGCCGGCGCCGTTGCCGGTTCCAGCGGTAAGCGGGGCAGTTGGCGGGGCGACCGGGGGGCCGCCGAGGCGTGGGGCGCAAATATGAGGCTCTTGAATGAGCTTAACCGGGCGGCAGCGGCGGCAGCGACGATCGACAAGGCAGACGATGCCGCAGCGGCAGCGGCGGTGGCGGCGGGAGAAGGCATCGGCGACGTGACCGCTTCCGTATCTCTTGCTGCTGCCTCTGAAACGGCGGGCAACGGCAGCGTGGCGTTGCAGTTCCGCCTGGCGTTCGAGGACACGCTCGCCGAGACTATCCTCGAAGACAGCCCTGAGCGCATGAAGGAGGTCATGCTTTGCCGGCCGAGCGGCCTTACCCCCGTGAGAGTGGTGAGGATGGTGCGCCGAGCGGCGGAAGCGGGGTTGGCGTCGCCCACGGCTGTGGTGGCCGACGGGGGTGTTGGTGGCGGCGGCGACGATTGCGAAGCGAACCAACCCCCGCGCTACGGCTCTACCCAAACTCTCAAGATGTGCTTGTTGTTGCTCCTGGAGGATGACACGAAATTAGGCGTCGGTGGGGTGTAGAATGGCATGCAACGGTTGGCCGTGTTGAAAGCTGGCCAGGGTTTGTATAGATTGCCGTGTGCCACGGCTGCTTCCCCAACTGAAATGAATTTGAGTTCTGGACGATAGGCGAGCCGTAAGACTTCGTGCCCCCGGTGTCGGGATGGTCACCCGCGGTTACCGCCAAGAGAATCGCAGTCAGTCCCTGCCGCGAAAACCATGTTTGTCCTCTAGTGATCAGGGCTGCTTCCAGTCCTCCATTCTTATTTGCTTGTGTTGTCGCCGTTTGTTTCTCGGTAAGTTTTACGCTGGCATGTGCTGGTCAGAGACTGTTAAGGTCAGAGATTGTAGACTGTGGGTGACATGGTTTATTTCTGTTGTAGAATGCTGCGGGAATGTCGATCTCGACAGCAGGGCGCGGGGAGAGGTCCGCAGTATAGACTTGAAGAGTGGCGTGTATGGCTTATTGTTTGTGGGCGTGCCAACGAAACCTTGTATCGCATGACGTGCACAAAGATGATGTTTCTCGCGGTTCTTGTGTCAGCGTCAGTTTCACGTCGGTCCGTGTTTTTCACGTGGGAGTTGTGCCGCCGGCACCGCGTATGGACACGTGGCTTGTAGACAGCCAATCGACAAACACACGCCGGACCCCGCGTGACTCTTCCGAGTGAGGGACACTACGCCGGCCGCCGGCCAACTGCAGTCGTTGACGAGCGCCAATCGATTCGTTCCCCACGATCACCCGCGGCCGGAGCGCGAAGGTATCCATCGTGGCCTCTTTTTCCGTATCGCATGCCGCCCGATATCTCCCAACATCCTGTTTCTAGGGGGTTGTCTCGCCCCGAGCAAAACAGCCTTCTAAAGGTTCCGGCCCGACGAAATTTGAAATTTGATGCCTGTAAGGAGTGTTTCTGAACAAAATAGGGTGCTTTTGCCGTTTCCTTGCGCCGGAATGAGTACCCCGTACACGGCCCTAGAAAAACCTGTCGAAATAACACGATCAGCGGCCCAATAACATAGTCGCATATCTTTCATTTTTCAATTCAAGTTTCGTGGTAGTGTCGATTGCGTACTACATTTCTCTGTTGTGATGGGTCGGCCACACCGGGGTTTCTCCTCCGTAGCCTGCTCACGCTACCCACGTAGGCCTAGACCGATCCCGACCGTCACTGTATTCACACCTACTGGGCCTACCCATTTCGCTTGGAACCAATTGATACGCCATTGCTGAAAAGCTCGCCTCGTTTTCTTAAGCTGGCAACAAAAAAACAAGTGTCCGTACCGACCGCGCCACACTACCACCGAATATGCTTCGTCGACACGGAACCTTCTGCCGCAAGCTACGCACATGTTCCCGAACAAGACCTCATGTCTTGATCGCCAATACGTGAGGACGACTTGCAAATACATCTGACTCTATCGACAAATCAACGGGCATGTTGCATTGCGGTGTAGCAACGCCGCAGTTGATTGACCTGCGCGTTGAAAAAGAAACAGAAACATACCAGCGTTGGTTTGTGGGAGGCTCGGGTTGACACGACGTGAACGAACCACGATCGAAACAGCGACAACAAACACGAGAGTCGTTTCGATGTGTACGATGCGTCATTCCTTGTCGAAGCTGAGGTCCATATTCAGGGCGCTCGCTCGCAAAGCACAGGTGGGTTTGGAAGGCGCCCAACGAACGCGACCTCAGAAGATGTTGCCGAAGACGCCGGCGGCTTTGTCTCCCTTCTCGACGGCCGTCAGAATCTCCGCCTCCGTAGGCCGCTGTTTCTGGGCACTCAACACCTGCGAAATTATCGACGGACGGGGCGATACGAGAACACATCGGCAGACAGACAGGCAGCTGTGGTTCCACGCACGTGCTCGGCAAGACACTGTTGGTGCACATGGTTAAAACGTTGGTCTGGAATGCTGACTCGTATAGTTGCATCTCGGCATTGGTACCAAGCAAACGACACGTTTTTTCCCCTCTGCTATGTTTTCCGGAGCCCTTCGTTTTACCTCCTCTCGCCTCACGTCGTTGTCCTGTCGACCGTACATCTTTTTGTCTCATCTATCCCTTCAAAACCAATCTCAGATTGTGAGGAAAACTCAAATCTCGCTTGCAACATCACATGTACTGGTACTCTGATCACTTCAATGAACGACAATATTGACAGACGTTGGCGTACAGCGCTAGGTAAAGAAAAACAACTACAACCAAGTGCGCAAGTGGGAGTGTCTCGAAGTGCGGTTCCGAGAACGTGGATCGAACAAAGAAAGCAGCAGTGGGCGGTCAGTTTGATCTGATCGTGGCGTCGCCGAGACAGCAATTGTGAATTCAATCGGACTCTGGTTGTGGCCACTTTCGTTCAGATGGCGGTGTGTACCGATGACCTCCCTTCTTACCTTTGGGGGTCCCAGCTTGGGCTTTCTCGCTACCGTCCAGTCCTTGGGGTACGCCCGGTACAAAAAGTCTTCGTTTTCGGCCGCCACAGGTCTCAGGTGGAACATCGACTCAAACTCCTGGATGAAAAATACAACCGGGATTACGTGTTGGAAGGAGATTAAGCACAAGGAAAGAAAGCGAGTCTTTCGTCGGCCCCGTTTCACGAGGTGGCCTAATCGCCTCTTCGCATGTTAAGAGATCCTCAAATCAAGAAGCACGAGTAGAGAATTCCGCAACAGAATGAGGGAGGCAGCGAGATAGGCGGGCGGCCCTATGTAGTTGGGGGCAGACTTAATAAGCTTCACGGAAAAAGTCAAAAGTCCCTCTTGTCAGCGAATCATGGCCAACGACTTCGCGGCCTTCTCTAAATGGAAACTACTTCTATTCAACAAGAGGCTTGTATAACAAACGCACGCTGTTTGTTCTTTTAGCGTCCGCGCATCTAATACTCGCCGCACGGGCATGACAAAGAGGCTGCAGGTACTAAAAAAACACAAGTACCGAAGGAAAACTGTCGGTCGGTGTCTTCGATGCAGGTCGAAATACACGATTTCTAGACCGCCTCCTTCTACGGGATAACAAAGCGCGTCTGTGGCGGCGTTTTTCCTGTCATTTCAAACAAAATCTTGAATCTATCCACCCCGTGCTGCGGTGTGACCCACCAAAAACACGAGAGCGACATTGATCCGAAACCCTTGGGGAGTACCATACGTCAAGGCATTAGTCGAAAACGCCTCACCTGCTCAAAGAACTCCCGCTGTTCGTCATCGAAGAAATCTGCCTGGAGGATTTTAACGCGGCAGTGCGGGTTGAATAAAATGGTGAGGGACGGGAGGGGGAGGAGGAGTGAGCCCCTCTGTGGTCGAGTTAAACGCCACGGTCAGATCGACGTTGAAGCGGCGCACTCGCTGGAATGGTATCCGGCGGTCGAAGACCATGTGCACGGTCTCGATCATAGACACCGAAGATCTAAACAAACCACCCGAAGCTCTAGAACGGTTGGTCGGTGACATGAAAAGAGCCAAGGAGTGCGCTCGTACCAAAAACTAGCCTATCTTGTACCGACAACAACACCAACACAAGGCAACACCTACAGCACCAACAGCAGCAATGCGTACGATCACTGCGCCCAACGAGCCAGTAGCTAGACAGCAAAACGAGCCCACTTCCCACGCGCAGAGCATGTCGCCTTCTTCGTGAGCCCACCTGATGCAAGCGCGCGTTCAGCAAGACGATCAAGCACCCCTGGCCGAGGTCGTTGGACATCTTTTGCACCGCCTGCCCCGACAAGCACACCCACGCGACCGCAAGAGCGGTTCCATCGGCGGTCGACCGAAAAGGTTGAGAGATATCAGCGAAATATTTGCTTTCTCCAGAGGACACCAACAGTTTCACATGTCCCAGGGTGATTTGCCCCAGCTTCCACTGACCCAATAGGTTTTAAATTCACTTCAGCAGCAATTCCACCACCACGTCCCGGGCGGGCGAAAATAATGGGTGCTTGCCTTCCGTAGTTTTGCTCTTTCCGCGCCATTTTTGTTTCGTTTTTTTTTGCAATCACCTCGTCTGTGGGCTCATTGCATGTTGCCTCTGGCGAGGGTGCAACCTGGCCACACGCGCTTCACCTAACATGCATCGCCTCCCCCCCTCCCCCCTTCCATGGCGAAAGATAATTGTTCACGCGTGAATAACCCCCCAACGAATCCCCCCTCATGCCCGCACCGAACCGACATTTTGAGAGCAGCCGCACCTTCAGCTCCTGCTGCTTTGGGGCCACAACAAGCAACACCTCGGTCCCTGGAGGGACAACTCTAGCCGTCGTCCCGGTCCTGCCCGCGGCGCCCCCGATGTCCTTGCCCCCCCCCCCCTGCTGCTTCCCGCCCTTCTTGTTCTTTTTCTTGGCCTTCTTGGAGGCCTCGACCTGCATCGCGAAGCCGGCGAGGGCGTTGGTGTCCCCCCGCTTGAGCTTCGGCCCCTTGGCGGGCCTGGGGTCCATGCACGTGACCTTTCCCTTGTACGGGACTCCCTTGCTCCAGACCTTGATGGCCTTTTTCGCGTCTTCGTCGGTTGGAAAAGCCACCACCTTTTTTTCAGATGTTGTTTTTCGGGGTGCGGAGGAGATGGGAGGGGTAGGTATAGTCTCCAAAATTACAAGAGTGTCGGGAGAGATGATGTAATCGATCGGAGTAGTTTGCTCACATGTGGAGCTCCTGTCAGAAAGGCCTCCAATAAAACGGATAGATTGTGAAATTCGAGGCCTAATCGCACGTGCATGCTCACCACTTGGTCTCCGATGACGTCGAACATTTCGAGGAACAGCCTCGCCAGTTCTCGGTCGGCTCGCTCCACGTCCGCAGCCGTGTACTTCTGCAAAGGCCGAACAGCAGGAGGCAACAGGAGGGGACAACAACAACAGAAAATTGCGTCAACAGAACACATGCGGAACAGGTAGAGCGGAGAGAGAATAGAGAAGGGAGGGGGACGGAGACAAAACCGCAATAAAAATATTTAGACGTCGAGCAGTTAATCATCAGTGAAACCTGCACGATCACAGCGTAAACACTCACGCGTACGTCCACATCACCAAACCCTCGGCAGAACATACATCATGTCGAGATCCAACTTCTCCGTGTCTTGCGCTCACACTTCAAAAACGTCCGTCACTGCATTCGTACTGGGCGTGCCACTTGCCCCGAATTCATGTCGAACACGCGAGCCTTGCGGGCTTAAAGGAGTGCGTCTTCCAAAGAAAACGGTCGAACTTGCTAAGATATGACTATCGAAGTTGTGGTCCATTTCGGGAATGGTTACGGTACACTTGTTCTGGAATAGCACAGCAGATTTTCACGCTGTAAAACACCAATTTGACGATTAAAGTATGCTCGATCGAGGTATGCAAACGCACACTGAAGAATGGAAAACAGTTTCCAACCCTGTTTATTATCGCAACAATAGCCTACCACCTGAGTCACTCGCAGATGCACCGTAGCAACGTTCTAGAGCGATTCTCCATGGAAGGTGGGACGAAATTGCAGCCCAGAACCGTGATACCCGGCACGTGCCGATTCCCTACGCACAAAGCGCTCAGTCCTCCAATGGAGCCAGAGTGCATGCATGCGTACCATACCTTCTTGTCTTTGTCTTCATCGGACGTCTCCACGCCTAGGCGAGCGGCGAAGGGCAGGTCCACGTCCATGCGCGACTGCTGCGCCTTGAGCCCTTCCTGTGCGACACAAACATTGTGCCCCAGTACCACGCGACACAGAGTACCAAGTAGGCAAGAGGGCGGCAACCAGAGAGCCCGCCACTTTCGTCAGCTGAAGTCGCCACACACAAGTACTTCATTTTTGTTTCAGATTCCCCGGGGACGATCCCACTCGTTTGGTGTTGTCGAAGGCGAGGTGTGTATACGATCCCGAGGATGAACCATTGGAGTTTCTAATCCGAGCTTTGCGCATTCGCGTCCTAGATGGGTGTTTTGGGGTTTTGCGTTCGAAGTCGATCGCGTGGGCGTCAACCGACGGGTATTGTATTCGGGGGGGGTCTGATATACACCGTCAGCTTCCTTGTTTGCCTTCCTTGCTGCCCTGTGCAACAGCACACGAGGAAACAGACACCTTTGAAGATTATACCATATATACAATCGCCTTTGCCTTTCTGTCCACGCCTTCGGATCTGTACTGCCACTACAGCCGGTCGACAACCCGTTCGGCGTAACGGCGGTGCGGTGGCAGTTGAACTGGAAATTCTGCGCATGATCCAAGACAAACTTCGACGAAGAGAGGCTATCATAAAATCCTTTACCCCTCAAGACAGGGCACAACCACACCTGCACAGCGGCCCGTAAACAGGATACCGTATCCTTGATGTTGCGCGGTACAGGTGTGCTGGGAGTGGACATCTTCATGTTCTTCGTCGGGGCTCGTGAGCATGCATGTCGTCGTCCATAGTGGTAGCAGCTGGGCTTGCCAGCTTGCAAACGCGACCCGGAACCAACCAGGAAAGGTCTCGCCAGCGGCACACGAAAGAGCAGGAGTGCGGACGCGTAGAGGAGGGGTGTGCACTTTCCCATGACAGCCGGTGTCTAGAGGCGGGAGGTATCACACCACGAGACAAGCACACGAGCAGAGAGGTAGAGCTAGACCAACGGAGAACAGGAGCAGCAAGCACTGCTACATGGAACACCCTCGCTCCCCCGCCGTTCAAACGATTGATTCTACGGAGCTCCTCGAATCAGAAAAAGCAGTGTCCGCACAGCTGCAAAGGGCGGCACAGGCATCCCATCGACAGCGTGCGGGACGTGTTTGACTGATCATGATCAGGTGAGCAGCCAGGTTCGAACCTTTGCGATATCCAGGTGTGCTACGGCAGACTCCGTAGCTTCATGGGTGCCTCCCGTCGAGCAATGCGAAATAGAGGACTCGCTATTGGCCCGACTCAAGTGTGAGTACTTCACACCGACCTTACCTTGGACACGGGGATAGCGGTATGCAAAGGGCGAGCGAGCGCGAGAGCAGAAGTTCTAGAGGATTTGGAGAGCCTGCCCTTTGGCCTCGTGCCTCGGGGAACCCGACGGCGTGAAGACCGAATTTGAGACATGTTTGCATGAGAGATGACGGTGCTCTCCTGGCAAGGAACCGTCAGCAATCTGTCCGCTGTCCGACTCTCGCGCGACGCTCTTCTCTCTCTGGTCTCTGGTCTCCCTGTTGAGGCTAGTCGACCATGTCGCCGTGTTGGTTGTTCTCTGGACCTCCCTGACACGTTACGTGATGGGAACATGCATCTCCCTCTGCGTACTTCCTTACTGACATTCAAGTTAAAAAGGCAAACCAGGAACCAGGTAGACTTGCGGAACCTCTGTCCTCCCCCCCCAGGGACGCCAACTGCTTCCACGCGCGGCCCGTTGCTCGATGTGTCACACACAAGCACAAAGTGCATACAGCAATCTCATCGTCAAACATAATGCCAGGCCGTGAGGCATTCTACTACGGAACTTTGTTGTCCAGCTATTGACGTGACTACGTCTACAGCCAGCTGTACGTTGCCAATTTCAGCAGGACGTTCGACGTGCAATGTAATCGCTCCCATCTTCCGCCCCCAATATACATACCACAGCAATGTGTCAGGAACATGTCACATGTCCAAGGTTACATATAGCTCCTTTTTCACACTGGGTTCACATATCATAGATGGAACAACTTTCTCGGGCACCAAGTTTGGAGTTTGCCTACAACATGGTACCCAGAGTTCCATACATACCAGGGATCCCCGTATTTCGCCAGCGCTGGTGATTTTGCTTGCACTCGCCAATGCAACAGTTTTTGGGGTTGTCGTTGGAGGTACACACGAAGCCATGTCATCATACGCCAGCGCTGGTTATTTTGGCTACACTCGCCAGTGCAATAGTGTTTGGGGTTGTCGTTGGAGGTAGACACGAAACCAAGTCATCCAGCAGGATTCCAGCCCACAGGCTTCGCCACGGCGCTAGGCCTCACTAGGCCTAACCCACCCCTACACCCCATCCCTACCCCTTACCCTAAACCACACCCACACCCCAAGCTTGGTTGTACAGTGTTAATAGTGGGTAGGCCTGCATAGGTCGCTGTACCGAGCTACTGGAGCGCGCTTCGCGCTCGCCAACGCTGGCGTTATGTACGCCTCGCATACGTACCAGGCGCACCTTTTTTCACAGAAGAGCAGACTGCCCTAAGTGGCAACAAGAAGGAACCCGCTGTTCGTGCTACATACAATGACATGACATAGTTGGCATCATACTTCTATGCCAGTGGTCCCCCGAGTGAGCAGTACATTGCAGAGAAATGGCCACTCCTGACAGTCACCGTTGATTGCGGGGCGGTCACTCCTTTATCATAACGGTGCGATGCCCTCGTACGTGTTGATCAGGCGTGGGTTTCGATCGCTACGTAGTGCACCCCGCCCGAGTGACCTGTCGTCCAGTGCAACCACCATGCCTGGCCGGTTGACGAAAACCCGATGCGGGCCGCAGGAACATGACCATTGCGTGCTTATGGTGAGACATGATGCCCTTGCCTGAATCGTGAGTGTAAGCACAAATATCCCCTCTGCATTTGATTTCCGGTTTCCAGGTACTTTATTCCCGCGGATGGGGATGATCCGTCGCACCCCAACGTGTTCCAGCTGCCCAGCGGGCTCGTGGGGAGCGGATCGGTGCGCTGCGGGGACGTGGAGAGACACTTCCCGTTGCCCGGCCGGTACCACTTTCGCTTCAAGAAGAAATTCAGGGACGCATTCGGTGGGTTGGTCGACCAGTGGTTGGTTCGAAAGAGCTGGTGCCCTGGTGCGCTGGTGACTGCCGGTGTTTATTTTTTACTACAAGGTTACATACTCCTTAAGATCTGTTGTGTTTGTTGCGTTTGTGCGAGCGCTAGCGCTTGTCTCTATTATTTTTATCACTCTGACTGTCATGGACGCACGTTCAGTTCATGCACAACCACGTGCAGCTTCAAACATTGCCATGGCGAACCAATCTTGTCAACGCGGTCATCTCCACCTCCTCATCCTTCATCCCGCGCTTTCTCGTCTTCCCTGGTCCTCCCACGGATCCGCTGCACTACAACTGCCGGTCGATCGGGTTTTGATCCATTTGTCAGTGTGGGTTGACATGGCGGACCCTGGAGCACCAGTGCCTTCATGCGACGGAGTTTTCACAGCCAAGATTACGCGCTTGTCAGACGGCCGAGGCGGAGGCGGGGTACTCCCGGGCAGAGGGGAAGCGATGCCGCCACCCCCGGCAGGCGTGAGACGAGACGTTGGCGGCGGCGGCGGCGGCGGCGGCGGCAGCGGCGGCAGCGGCGGTGGAGGTGGGTTCCTCTGACGGTGCTTTTCTTAGTGGGTGTCACAGTGCGGGGAAGAGGCGAGGGGGGGGGGGATGCCGGACCGGGGGATGCCGGACCGGGGATCGTGCTTACCGGTAGTGGCTGATCTGTTCTTTTTTTTCCTCGGTATTAGGTGGCAGTGTCTTTGAGCCCAAGCCTTGAAAAAGGGAGGTTCAGAGGAGGCAGTCGGTTGTCCTCCGGCGCCATGCACGCTGTGTTTCATGGCTGTGGCTGTGCACAGAAAAGTCGCGCCGAGATTGCGTCGAATAGATTTGGCGAACTGCGAGACCCCTTGACAGAATATTCCGTGCTGGCCGCATGATTTGGGGTGGCATCACCAGCAGTACACTCTCCTTCATTTGCTTGCCGAGATTGCTTTGGGACTTGAGCTATTTAACTTTTTCGGTTCTCGCTGGCTGCCGCAGAGGTCTATACCATGGAAATTGCGAGCGTGCGTGCGTCCGTACTTGCGACGCTTCAGCAGTCGCGGTGAAACGCGTTCCTCGAATCGCATTCAAGCAAGTGTTGCGTGGCAGAAGTACACATGAACGATGGGGTCCCTTGACGAAGTATGGTATGCAGGTCTTCTTGCGTGTATAACGCCTGTAGAACACTGTAGAGGAGTTGCGATTTGTGGGAGTTATCATCAAGTTGGGATCGACGGCCCTGAGTGACTTGCCTCTTTTTGTTTTTTGGTTCACATACACCACCGTCGCAGCATTGCTGCCGCGAGGTATGCTATTTATATGAAGTATGCATAGGAGCTCCAATTGGTGGTCTGATCAATGAAAATGGTTGTCCGGGGTCCCTGGCACGGCCGTCGCGGAACGACTTTGTAGGTGGAACCGTCTAGCTTTCAGACATACAGTGCACAGTGGTTAATAACGTTTTTGACCGTGTTATCTCTGTTTGCACAAATCATACCAAATTTTTCGTGAATGGATTCCCGATGCCTTGCTACAGGGTTTGGCGGAGACGATCTGCTCAACATGGGGCACGGTACCGCGCCGGGGGGTGCCACGGGGCCTGGCTTAATGGGAGGAGGCTCCCAGGTCAGTTCGCCGCTCCCTGTACTGTTTGTCTCTTGGATATGCATGTGGTACACGCCTTGGCGTTTTAGCCTGTCTGTGATGTTTTCCGTTGTCTTCCTCATCGGGTACCGCAACGGAAAGCTTGTCAGACAGTCCAACGTTGCAGCCAAGGCCTCGCCGTCTTTAGGTGTTCTGCTCCCGTCCTTCGGGGGGCATACGCCTTCACGGGTTCACATGTTGATCTCTGTGGTCAACACGTTTCTGTCACCAGTAGCGCTGGACCATCGAACTTGCTCGCCGAACCAACAGCCCAACTATACCCCCCTCCTCTTTGCCCACGTACCGGGAGCGTGACGCAACTTCGCAAGGTTGCTTTTGGTAGGGTATGGTAAACTCGGGTAGGGTATTGTGGGTAGAACCAAAACTACCCACGGGTAGGGTATAGGAGCTCGGGTACTCTACCCTCGGAGGGTAGGGTATCGAGAGTAGTACCAAAACCTACCCGAGCGTTGGGTAGGGTATCGAGGGTGGTACAACACATACCCGCAGGGTAGAGTGTACCCGACAATGAACCCTACCCGCCCGGGTAGGGTTCCGGTGAAAAATCCGTACTTTTACCAGGTGCGGGTAGGGTATTGAAAGTCAAACAAAACCTACCCGAGGGGTCGGGTAGGGTAGGAAAGTCCTACCAAGCTACCCGAGACTCCGGGTAGGGTACAGAACCTCGTACCAAAGCTACCCCAGTCTGGAATATCCTTAGTCCCGGGTATTTACCAGCGGGTACCCGGGTACGACCCCGGTACGACCGTGATACTGAACCCAATTCATGAAGTCCAGTCTCATTAAATTCAAAGTTGACGGTCCCGGGTTGCCGTGTTCCCGCAACAAAAGGAAAGGTAACAGAAGTACACATACACTTGCACTTTCAATGTACCATGCCACCATGGCATGCACGCGCAACACCGGTCCCCATTATGATCGACAGAACTTTAAACGCCCTTGAACCCTGCAGAAGTCCCAATCGTAATCGTAATCCCATTCCTTATCCAAATCCTCCCCAGAAGTTACCACTAGCAGCACCGAGAGGGAAGAACAGAACAGAACGATAGAAAAAAAAAAAAAGGAGCAAAGAAACAAACCCAGCTTTAGCTCGAGCCTAAAGGCCAAGGCCAGCCTCGGCGGGGGGCGCGTCATTTGGCAGCGGTTCAAGCGCCATCTCCGCTTTAAGGAGATCTTCGTCCGTTCCTTTGAACTTTGCTGGAAGGCACTTCCTGATGTCCTTCCGGTCAATTTGGGGGATGTCCTGATACGCCGGGATGAATTTGAAGTTGGCCTCGACGGCGTCTATTGTGGCCTGCGGTACGTCGTACTCCGCTCCGTTGCTGTCAAAGACTTTCGCGGGCTCGACGAGACGCACCGCTTGCGATGTGGACCCCCCTTTTGCCGTGGCTCCCTGCTCGGTGGGTGTAGACGATGCACCAGCATCGGGAAATGCGGCGGAACTACCGACTGCCTTACTCATCACCGGTGGCTGCTCCGATACCCGAGGGTAGAGGGTACGGGTGGAGAGTAGCGAGAGCGCTGTGGTGGCACGCAGGCACGCAGGCGACGGTTCTGATGCTTTCTGACGTCACCAGCAAGCACTTGTGGGGGATCGGGTAGATACCCGGGTATCTACCCGAGTTCGTCTCGGGTAAGGTATCGAGAGTAGTACAAAAGCTACACGCGAGTCGGGTAGGGTACCGACAGTAGTACAAAAGCTACCCGCGAGTCGGGTAGGGTACCGACAGCAGTACAAAAGCTACCCGCGAGTCGGGTAGGGTACCGACAGCAGTACAATACGTAGGGTAGGGTAGGGTATCGAGAGTAGTACCAAACCTACCCGAGCGTTGGGTAGGGTATCGAGGGTGGTACAAAACATACCCGCAGGGTAGAGTGTACCCGACAATGAACCCTACCCGCCCGGGTAGGGTACCGGTGAAAAATCCGTACTTTTACCAGGTGCGGGTAGGGTATTGAAAGTCAAACAAAACCTACCCGAGGGGTCGTTCAGGGTAGGAAAGTCCTACCAAAGCTACTCGAGAGCGGAATACCCGCGGGTACCGGGTGAATACCCGAGGGTAGGCTCGGGTACATGCCCTACCAAAAGCAACCTTGCAGGTTGACTTTGATGTCACGAGTCCTCGCTGCGAACGGCGTGTTGCGTGTTTTCGAGGCGAAAGCGAAAATTACAAGGGGGCGTTGTTGTTCCTTGCGGTGCACACTAATATGACCATGGACTGTGCGCCCCCTCCTCTAGGCCCCTAATTGAGACGCCGCCACCAACCCGGCGCCGCTCATCATACGTTTCTGTTGCATATCATGTACTCACTGGTAATTTTGATTCTTGGACGTGGGGAATCGTTCACCTGTCCCCCTTGCCATTTTAGCTGTGTGGCTCCCATCTGCCGGGTGTTCATATGTCTTTCGTGCTTTTTGCGTGCAACACCCATCCAGGCCGCGAACTCTTTTCGCTGTTTCTCCTAAAGAGGTCACCCTGTCGTTGTGAACATGACATCCACCATCCTCGTGAATTGTACGATTTTCGGCGCTGACTCACATGGGGCACATGCAGCCGTGCATCTGCGTCCTCCGACGTCCGACAGAATACATAGCAGTTCAGACAATCCTTCTGGCAATGTGTAAGCCACCTTTGGTTTAATTGTTCCGTTTTTGTTTTTACTTTCACGATATCCACCCGTGCCGCATAGACCCTGCTTACCTCGTATCCCCGCTCGGACCCCCGCCCTGTTCCTCCTTTTACCTCTATCTTGAAAGCCCGACGACTTGCTGGGCATGTTCGACAGCTCACCATCGCAGGGCGTTCCCCCACAACAAACGGCATCAGTACCGTCGGCGGCGGGAGCGGCGAGACCGATGCCGCGATCGCCCCACATGCACCCGGCTCCCATGTCTCAGATGGGGGGAGCGGGCGTAGCCGTGGGCGGCGGCGGAGGCGGCGGGGGTGGCGGATTCGGGGTGGGCGCGGCTGGCATGGGTGGTCATGCACCATCGGTGAGGATGTGAAGGAGGGACACCGGGAGGTGGCATGCGGTGGTACGCATCTCTGGATGATATGATCACGCGTCACTCTGAAGATATGATTTGTGTCCTTGGGGGTCTTGGTCGCGGAGTGGACGGGGCCGGTATTTGAAGGGCGTGTGCCGCGAGGGAATGTCGATATCGCGAGGACCCGTCCTCTCATGCTGAGTACACGTGGTGCTGAACTGTCCCTGTTGGTTGCATCGTTCGTTCGTCTGCTGGTCTTTGTGGTCGTGGTGTGGTGAACGGCGACACGGCCCCAACTTGACGATGCCGGCCCTCCATCGGTCCTCTTGTGCGGTTCATGTCCAGTGGCAGCAGCAGCAGCAACAGCAGCAACATCCCCAACACCAGGTGACAATCATCGCTTTGTCTCTGAACCCCACGTCTGTTCATGGAAATTTTGACTACTTCCTCCCCTGCGCCAAATACTACGTAGCATGGGCGGGATGACCACACGGACAAAATGGGTTTGGAGGCTGTGCTTTATCCCACACTGAGAGGATTTGAATCAAATTTGCGGATGGATTCTCAAAACGGGAATGGGGAAATAGTCAAGTTGGCTGAGAGACAGCGGGAAGTGGTGTACGCTTTCCATGTGACGCGCTGCCTCCTGATGGATCGCAACAAGGAGCGAGAAAGAGTTCCGATTCATGAGTTGACGTTGGTGGGGAGGTACTTCATATTTTGTCGAATTCATGAAGTTGTAGTTTTGAAATTGCGCTTCGCCCCCTCGCTGCCGACTGAGGTTAAACCCAGGAGGGAAGGTGTTACAACCCCCCACTGTCCTCCATTAAATGAAGGGTTTTTCTTCATGCGATTTCGTGTTCATCCAGAGGCCCACGTTGGCCTTTGCTGCTCCCCCCCGCGCCCCGCGTTCTTTCGCTCGCCCGCTCTTGGTGTTGGTACGTGCTTGTTGCTCGGTCCTTCGGCTGCTTGACACCTGAACCACCACCACTATACTTCACCAGCAACAGCAACAATTCGCGAGGTTTCCACCTCAGGGACGTGGGAGCATGTAATATGCGACAGGATCCGCGCTCTCGCACGCCGTCGACACGCTCGCATCGGAGCCAGGGCATTTACTTATTGTTGGGATTCGTGGGTCGCTTGCCCATTCGGTTATGCCGATTACCTTTTATTGCGTTTCATTCTCTTAGAATTGATCAAGCACGCCCACTCCCCCTCCCCCCACCCTCCCTCGGCGGGGAAAGACTACAATGGTTGCCGAATCGATCATCCAAGTATTTTAGCGGCTTCTTGTGCGAACGCATACCAATCCAAATGGTCCTCGACGGTACCCAAGAACCGTGAACTGTTTTGACAAGACCCACGTGGTTCAGCAGCTTCAAGTGGGAACGCAATGTTGATTTACATTGTTTTGGGCGGATTCCGGGCGCGTTGATGGGTTTCATGGATAGCTGGTTGTAACAGCGCTGCGTTTGTGGATGGTTGCTTCATTTGGCGGGGTTTCGTCTTGGGCGTCTGAGGGCGAGCAGGCATTTCATTTTTTTGGAACGAAGCCCTTTGGGAATTTTTTTTTCTGCCCCCGAGTTCAATGGGGTAGGGTAAGCGCTTCAGTCGACCAATATTTTATCTACACTTCATTGGAGTTTTTGTTGACAACTACGCAGTACTGCAGCTCATTTCGTTCGATTTCAGCAGCTAGGTCGACCAGTTTATTCCCTGAAAAACGACTGCTAAACAACCTGCAAGCTATCATATGTAGACTATACGGTTTCGTACGTATCTGCGCGTGCGCGTGCGCTGCTTTAACCACCCACACGGCGACAGCATGAGCAAAATAATCAAGGTGACGTTTTGGACCATAAACAAACGTGTATTACCCACAAGAACCATCTGAACCAACCAAACCAGGAAAGCACTCCCGTACCAGGGACGGGCCCCTGCAGTCTCCAACTCATCCATACCCTCAAGGCGAGAGGCCCCGTATACTCCTACTCGACGTTCGATATTTTTCTCGAAACGTCTGGAAAATTTCGGCTAAAACAGCGAAAGTCTACATACACCTGGAAATATCCTCAGGCTTAAGTACCCTATATCCGATCTACTTTCAACTTGATTTGGCTACCCCTCGGGTATCAGAGAATTCACGCGTTTCAACTTATTTGACAACATCCTCGAACTCAATGCACCACCCAACAACGTACGGCCCGACCCCCTGCTCATCAGTCCTTCGCACGGTCAGTGGCGCAATTCTCTCAAGTCATCCGAGTCTCCTTGTCTCCATCACGCTTAACGAGCCTACCGACCGCACTGTTCCCTTGGGTCGATTTCAGTCCGATGCTCGAGGGAAAATGTCCACAAAGGTCCCCAGAACACGAATTAGGTATGCATGCCTCCAGATCTGTCATCAGGCAACCAAAACCAAAATTCAACGCATTCATCAAGGGTGAAACCAGTTCTATTCGATATCAAGAACGTGATGCCAAAACTGAACTCAAAATCGTCCGCGCGAAACATGTACATGCTACCGATACCAGGACAATCCAACTGCCCACCTCCGCTGTCGCCTACTCACTACCCCACGGAATGCCTCCAAGCTTGTCAACTGCTCCCTCCCACAAACCTATTCTAGCCTACTTTGCACGTTTGCGACGCGCGAGATCCGTACCCATAAATTTACCGTTCAAAAGCAGTGTGTTCCCTTGTCAGGCCTACAGCAACCCCTGTGTGAGACTACAGGGTGCTCCAAGAACGCGCGACCGTTCACCGTGGGTTCTTGACGAACTTCAAAATTTCAATTAGGTAATCATTGGTCTCGGCAACCTTTGCTTCGAGTTGTTGCAAGCGCTGATCGAAAGCCTCAATCAAGTGTTTGGGCCATGCCTTCCCTTTTCTCAAAAGTCTGCAGAGCCTACCTACAATGTCTTTCACTAGGCGGTCCCTAAGAAGTTTAAGGTGTTCCACGGTGGTGCTCCTTGTCGTCCCGGCCTTACGAACATCTCTGTTGTTCATTGGGTCGGCGAGGAATTCGCGCAATTTTGCCATTCCTACTCCCTGATCGGCACTCTTAAGCATGCCATCTACTGTTACCGGTATAGACTACCCGGTTCGGCAGGGTGTACCTCCCCCGCTACTTGCCCGAGTAGAAGCGTCTTGACCCCGAGCAGGAAACGACACAACGGAGCATCCAAGACGCACCACACAGGGATAAGGATATACCGCAGTATCGTTGCTCCCAGGCTCAGTTTGAAGTATTATAACGTGAGCAGTATGCGTGTCTAGCCCTACGTAGTAGTGCTCATGCCACACAAAGAGTGCGTACACAACCGACAATATCCAGAGAATCGATCCCCCCACAAAAGCCATTAGACCGAGCACAAACCAGGACACTGCCTGACCAATGGCTTGCTTTGCTTCATCATACCGTTTCCGCCGAAAGCTGGGCATCACCAACGCGTATTGCCCCGAGAAAAGTAGCTGTGCCACGTTGAACGGGGCAGGAAGCCAGTCGTTTTCTACAGTCCATCGGCATCGCTGGATCATGCGCGCCTTCGAAACCTTGAACTCCCGTTGAACGTTCTCCTGTACCTTGGAGTGCGATACGGTCAATATCGCAACCAGCAGGTTGAGCACTGTGACCACCACCAGATGTCACGATAAGAATTGTCCCCACCGTTCGTGCCGGCCACCAGAGGACGCCGTGAAGTAGTCCACGTCACCAAGCGTCGCTTTGAATAGTGCGACAAACGTTTCACCAAAGCTTTTGGAGTCGCGAATCAGCACGTGCAGGGACATGGCGAATCCGACCATGACAACCAACATCACAATCCCGAACCTCACGAGCTGAGCCGTCATCGCGAAAATAACCTGCGCCAAGAGTGCGAAGGGGACATCGTGGTGGCCATTGGATTGCGAGATGCTCATACATTCCAAGACATCATAACTGCTACTGCTACGAAAACCAATGGACCGTTGTGCCTTTTCCCCTTGCTGCCTTTGCCGCCATGGGAAGTGATCGGAGGCCGCACGTCCTCCAAACGCATAAAGGCGACGGAATTTCAGGTCTGATCCACTTTGAACAACATCAACAACGAAGGCGGTCCGAGAGAAACACAGACAGGTATACGATAGCCGCTTGCCTGAATCATTGGTCTTTGGGAAGGGAGGATCTGCGCGAAAAAGAGGACGCGTGCAACGAACAGCGGAGCACTTAGGGCGTACAACCCTTGCCCCATTGAACTGGCACCATCTAAGCCGCGGACGACCAAGCCGGCACTTGGAGCTGCCACCCCATCACGTCAACAGCGTTCCATGGGTCTTGGAAGAATACCCCTACACCGGTCCACAAGGCACCAGGTTCCTTGACGCAGTTGTGAAGCTCGCGCTTCTCTCTCAAAGTTCTTGTCTGAAACGGCCGACCCGGCAAGATTTTTGGAGAGGTACGCACGGAAGCGAGAATAAGCCGATGAGCCGCGAAACAAACAATCTGGTAGTTTGCGGTTTAATTTCCCAAGCACAACGAGGCCATGACCGAGGCTCGGACGCAGCCGCACGAATATTTGGCTGCAGTCAAAAAAGAATCGAAACAAAAACCGACCTCAACGGGTTTCGCGAATAAAGGAGTCGGCGAAGTGCCCACACATCGAACCTGGAGAGTGCGCTGGCAACAACAGTGGTTGACCGCCCGCCCGCGACCTCAACTCACCGCTATGAAACAGCCGCGGCGATGCCCTCTCCCCGTGTCAGCGACCCGCTGTCGCGGAAGACCAGGATGCTCAACGCAATGATCACCAAGAGGTACACCACAACGTCTAGCACCATCCTCACAGCGGGGATTCGATAGTAGTTGTTAGGCTTCGCCAGAAATCCTGCGATCGCAAATTGAGCCCCAGGAAGAAACGTCAGGCTGGCAAGCCTATCATTCGCTCCCTGAAGCAACGCACGAGGGGATTCAAAGCTGGCCTTTAGGCCATTCTTGACCAGAAGATCCTTGTGTCGGAATTCGTGATAACCTCTTTCGTCCAGTTCTTCGTCATCGCCACCACCAATGACCAGGGACATCATGCCTGGCCCACTGCCGCTCAGCACATCATGTTCTGTGCCATTCCGAAGCACGCCGTCCTTGTCGCCCACGTCGGGCAGACCATGCGTGAATTTCCGTGACAAGTAGTCCATGATTAAGGGCGTCGAGCAAAACGTTTCCGTCTGAATACTGTTCGCCAGGAGGAGCAGGGCCAGCGGTGGCTTGAAGCCCGTAGATTCTCCCGTTTTGCTGTCGAACTCTGGCCCTAACACGGCTGAGCAGTCGGCCATTCCTCCGTTGAAACCATTGACTGTTTGAGGCAAGCGTTCGAGAATTTCAAGCAGTAAGGCATGTACATGGCCCTGGATGGCCTCAAGGGTACCCCTCTCTCCCTCTGGAGCTTTCTTCGTCACATCCACGCGTGCCACAGACAAAGTCATGCCGGAAATGAACAGGTTGTCTGACGCGGCTACAACTCTCAAACAGCAGTCGTGCAGCCGCTCGTCAGAAGGGTGCTTGCGAGAGAGATCAATGAGGTCTTCAGGAGACGGACATGCATAATTCTTCAGAAGCAGTGCGATACCGTCCCACTTGCCAAGTCCAGCACTAGCCCATATTGAAAATTGAGCGCTGAGTTCGTCTGCCACTTGCAGTTGCACAACTAAAGGTGGAAAAGGGGACCGACACTCCGTGCGGGAATGGTATCTTGGTCATGAGCAAAAACCTGGCACCGTGCCGATCTCCGTGAGAAGGCGCAGCCACCAAATGGAGCGACTTGATTCACAATACCCCACAATAAGAAGATGCGAAAGCGAGAGCAAAAGCCTCACTACGATGTAGTCAATATTTCGCCCGATTGCGCGAGCAGACGATTTTTGTCACCATCAGTTCATTGTATTTTTGTTCACCTTGAGACATGACCTTCATACCATCCAAAATAGATAGGAAACTGAATCAAATCTGCGTCCACCAGGACATAGTCGGAAGATCCTACAATACAAGGTAAGGCGCATGGCGCAGCAAGTCTGAAAGAAATAAAGCGGAACCACCGTGCTCGAAGTAACTTTCACACGTTCAAGAATCCGGGACGCGTTGATTCAAGTTTTCCACAAACATCATAGACGAAACAAAGCACTCGTATCCACAAGAGAAACCTTTGTCCAAAGGATGTTCCCGACGCTCCTACCACACCGGAGGACTCTCCTTCACTTTGTTAGGTTTCAACAATCTGGCAAACCATTTCGCACCCGCCTGACGGTGACGTTGCCAGTAGAGATACCTCTCTGTCGACTATCATGGAAAAAAGAAAGAAAAAACAGTCTTACATAAAGTATCCTTGGAATATCCATAGTGACGGCGTCTTGTAACGACGGTGCAACCCAGGAGTGACATGCCGAAACCCTCCCTTGCCATGATCAGTTCAATGAGCTGCATGGCGTACGGGGGATAGCGAAGGGCCTCCATCGATGTGCAAACGCTGCCTTTCGGTTATTCCGACCCTCGAATGGTCCCTCACATCATTCAACGTTGACGGATACATTCACCACTTGGAGCTCATGGCGAGCGGGAACAAACTTCAGTGCACGTGTCACGCGACGGGACGATTGTAGCCAGCGCTTGTGGGGCTCCTTCGATACATTCAAACTATGACGAACAACTACAGTACGGGCCGGTGATTGAGAAACCTCTTGTGGAGGAAACTGACCTACTGGTAAACTAGACCGGCCAGAACCAAGCAAATCGGGAGGGACAAAAAAAGCTCACCCAAGGCGACGAGATATGAAACGTGCCCATGAGCGATCGACGGAGCGAGGGTGTTTTGGACCGAGCACTTTCGAAACAACCACAAGCTGCGCCAACCAGGTCGATTGGCTCAAGATCATTTGCCGACGCGAATACAGAGTATCACGATGGACTGGCTCACCTATCGAAAACCAGACAAGGTAGTCTCTTGGGTCGGGAACACAAGGTGCTCGGAGGTGAGATCACCAGGGTCATGGCAAACTCATTAGATGTGTCCTGGTCATAAGATGATGAACGACGCGAGCTACGAGCCCGCACCCATCCGCACGAGTTGCGGGCGCTCATTCATTACGATAGTTGACCATAGCACACGTGATGACCTACACGACCACTTACCTGGTCATTCGTGGGTAATTGGGTTAGGACTGCCAAAACAGCTGTAACCACGTCCAGGTTTCCGCTAGAGGCCGCGAGTCCCGGGATCGTTCCTCCAATGCGGTCTTTGTGCATCAACATCGCTGTCAGCTGGGTGAGAAATGGGAGACAGAACGACGCGTTAGTCGTGCCCACAAACGGTATCTCCGCCACGAGCTTACTGGCCTTGGAAACCCACCAGCATGGGGTAGGGCGTGAAAATGGGAAGCTAATACGAAAATACAAGGCCGACAGGACCACCAATCCTCCACTGTTTCCAACCACAAGGTCGAAGGGTGCGTGATTGCTTGCCCTGGAAGCGAATGATCAACACAACAGGAAGCCCCGTTAAAGCACAGTGTCCGCTGCACATTCCTCGGACATGGGCGGGGCCAGTAGGAACGTAGGGACTACGCAAGGCGTTGACACGGCGGTCGGTGGCGGTCACAATGAAAGGGTCCCGTCGTGGTCCCGTCTCCCGCACTGCCCTTGCATTATCACGATGCATCTGCGGGAAAAACCCTCGTAGTTTTTGCCCGCATGGAGTGAAGCAGTGACGGAGACACCAGCACTTCCAAAAACGCCGCCCGGCCTGACTCAGAACTACCACGTGCTACGGAACCCACCAACAGTGCATGGTTGCTTCCCACGTTCAGGCGATACTATAAGAGGAGACCAAAGCGTATGGAACCCCAAGGCAAACATTCGATCACGTCAAGGTGAATGCCTGTTGATCATCAAGCGTATCCCGTGCGGAGGTTAACACTGCTCCGATCAACTTGACAACACCACTAACGACGGTACAACCCAGGAGTGACATGCCAAACCCCTCCGTTGACACGATCCGCTCATTGAGCTGCGTGGCATATGGGGGCCTCTGTCGTTGTGCAAACGCTGTCTTTCGGCTATTCCGACCCTCTTATGCTCCCTCATATCATTCAACGTTGACAGATACATTCACCACTTCGAGCTCATGGCGGGCGGGAACATACTTCAAGTACGTGTGACGCGACGGGACGATTCTAGCCAGCGCTTGTGGGACCCCGTTGAAACACTCAAACTATGACGAACAACTACAGTACGGGCCGGTGATTGAGAAACCTCTTGTGGAGGAAACTGACCTACTGGTCAATTGGATCGACTCAGGACATCGGGAGGGAAAAAAACCTTAACCTAGGCGACGAGATATGAAACGTGCCCGTGAGCGATCGACGGAGCGAGGGTGTTTCGGACCAAGTACTATCGCAACAGTCACAAGCTGCGCCAACCAGGTCGATTGGTTCAAGATCATTTGCCCATGGACTGGCTGGCCTATCAAGCACCAGACAAGGCAGTCTCTTGGGTCGGGAACACAAGGTGCTCGGAGGTGAGATCACCAGGGTCATGGCAAACTCTATTGATGTGCCCTGCTTGCAAGACGATGAAGCACGCGAGCCACTGGGGGCCACATGCATCCGCACGAGTTGCGGGCGCTCACTCGACACAACAGGTGACCATAGTACACGTGAAAACCTACACGACCACGTACTTCGTCATTCGTGGGTTCTTGCCTGCAGACTGTGAAAACAGCTGCAACCACGTCAGGGTTACCGCTAGAGGCCGCGAGTCCGGGGGCCGTTTCTCCAAAGTCATCGTTGTTGAATGTCAACATTGCTCTCAGCTGCGAATGTATGTAGGAGACGGAACGCAACATGAGCCATGCCCAAGGACAGCATCTTCGCCACGAGGTTGCTGCCCGTCATGCTCACCCTAGCACGGGGCAGGGCATGGAATGGGGAGGTACTACGAGTATTGAAGGCCGACAGGACCACCCATCTTCCCATATTGCATATCCTGGAAGAATTATCTGCTCGATTATTCGGGTGGCTCAGTTCTGTGTGTTGGGAGTGTAGAGCAGCTGGGCCATGACGGGCCGTGGTAGGGGAGGGACGTATAGGAAAACGTATTGTATTCTTCGGGGGCGTGCTCGTGCTCGTCAATCTGTCACGGCATCAAGCACGCGTCACGCTCATCACGCTCAAACTACCAAACGGATCTCTCTGATTCCTCCGCATCTCATCACTGCAATTTCCGTACGTACGTACTGAAGATCTTACCCGTCATACTATGCTACGAGTACCCCCAATATATCTAATAGCCCCCCTGCTCGTATGCATCGTCATGCTTCGGCAAAAACCAAATTCTTCATTTACCATCTCTCCCCGAACAAACAAGAAAATTCTCAAAGAATCCAAATCCAATATCCTCCCCAAAACACGCAAGCACCCTCCCAAGTCAATCACGAGAAAAATTCCAACACAACCAAAACTCCTCCAAAACGAACAAGAAAAATTCCAACACAACTAAAACTCCTCCGAAACAAACAAGAAAAATCTTAACACAACTCCAACACGCTTACCACCTTCATCAGACTCTCTCTTTCTCTTGTCCAATCTCGTTTCTCTCTTCCTCTCTCCGCTACAGAATACAAATCGACCCCAAAACACTTCCTTCACTGCAAGTTCATCACAAAGTCACGATGCAAAGCAAAAGACTCCTTGCTAATAGCCTTCGTCCAGAAATCTGCACACTGAAATTGCGTCGGCACATGAGTAATTGAAATCACTTTCCTCTCAACCAGCTCCCTGATAAAGTGATGCCGTACATCGATGTGCTTCGAGTTGGAGTTCGTGATCGGGTCGTGCGCAATCTGGATCGCTCCCTGATTATCCTCGAACACCGGGATGCACGCCATACTCGCATCTCGCAACATAAAACGCCACACCTGCCTCAAGAACATCGCTTCCTTCAAGACGTCGGCAATTGTCACATACTCTGCTTCCGTGGTGGAAAGCGTAACGCACTTCTGCATTCGTGAAAGCCAAGTCACCCCCCCCCACACACACATCACTAGCCCCCCAGACACCGACCTTGCTTGCATAGTCGGCATCCACAAACACCTGCATGCTCATACCTGTCACGACGCCCCTCTCAAATGTAATCCCCATCCAACTCGTCCTGCGTACGGATCCTAAAATACCGAGTGCTGCCTTCCAGTGCACCATCTTGGGAGACGCGCNCCATACTCGCATCTCGCAACATAAAACGCCACACCTGCCTCAAGAACATCGCTTCCTTCAAGACGTCGGCAATTGTCACATACTCTGCTTCCGTGGTGGAAAGCGTAACGCACTTCTGCATTCGTGAAAGCCAAGTCACCCCCCCCCACACACACATCACTAGCCCCCCAGACACCGACCTTGCTTGCATAGTCGGCATCCACAAACACCTGCATGCTCATACCTGTCACGACGCCCCTCTCAAATGTAATCCCCATCCAACTCGTCCTGCGTACGGATCCTAAAATACCGAGTGCTGCCTTCCAGTGCACCATCTTGGGAGACGCGCAATACCGCGCTACTGCTCGAACTGACTTCGCAATGTCCGGCCGTGTTTGAGTGGCCAACCACATCAGAGATCCTACCAACTCGCGAAAAGGGACATCAGCACTCGCTTCATTCACGTCAAAGTCGGAGAGCTTTACGCTAACAGGCAGAGGCACACTCTGCCCCCACTCAACGCCATACTCTGCAGCCAGCTCTTCGGCAAAACTCTGCTGCGAAATCTTCAACACCCCTCTCTTTACGTCTCTCTCGTAAAAGCACGCGGAGTACCACCTCAACTCTCCAAGGTTCTTCACGGGGACCATCTCGTTGAGATCCCTGCCAAACTTGTCACACCTCTCCTTCTGCCCTACAGCAAAAATGTCATCCACGTGGACCACGATGATCATGATCACACGTCCCTCCTCCATCAATCGAAAAACACACGCATCTGCCAGACACTGCAAAAAACCTAAAAGTAACAAACACCTCGTCAGGTGCGAATGCCAATGTCGTGATGCCTGCTTCAAACCATACAGACTCTTGCATAGCTTCACGATCAAGCCAGATAACCTACCACACCCCTGCGGTAAGCGCATGAAAACATCCTCATCAAGCTCAGACTGCACAAAAGCCTGCTGAATATCGATATGGCACAAGTTAAGATTCTGCTCGCATGCTAATGCTGCCAACAAGCACACTGGACACTGATACGGTGGGTGCAAACAATTCTCCAAAATCAATCGAAGCCCTCTGCATGTCCCCCCGCGCTACAAGTCTTGCCTTGAATTTCGTCGGCCATCCGTACTCGTCTGCCTTACAGTTAAAAACCCACTTAGCATTGATGGCGTTCTCTACTGGTTGCTACACCGGACTAAAAGTTCCTGCGTCCAATAAACCGAAAAGCTCTCGATCGACTGCATCATCCCACAACTCTGAATGCTGAGACCGCATGGCCTTCTTGAACGTTTTCGGCACGCGGAGGTCGCTGGCGAGGCAGTGAGGAAGGTCTGCCATCTTGTCGGGCGGGCGCTCGGCGCGAAGAGCGGCGTCCACATCCTCGCGGGTGGCGAACATCGTTGCGAACATCTGCGGTCTCCATCCCCTCCCAGAATCCACGGGCCTCCCAGCTCCCACAGCCCCCCCGCTTCCACGGCCTCCAAGACTCGGATCCGGCTGCGGCGGGGGCGGCAGGTCGCGGCGTCCTTGATCCACGGCCTCTCGAGTGGCGAGCGACGAGATGAGGGAGTCCTTGTCCATCATCGCCAACAGACCAAGACGTTGGTGGAGAGCGGTGCCGCTACCGGACGGCGGTTGTTGTTGTTCCTCCATGAACCGCACTCCATCGCCGCGCGTGCGGCCGTGTACCCTCGTGTCCTTTCGTCCCAACTCCTTCACGGCTCGTTTCGAAAGCGGCGGGTGCGGGGGAGCGGGGGTGGCGGCGCTGGTGGGCTGCGGCGGCGGCGGCGGCAGGCCCGGGGGGGAACGGGGCGGCGTTGTTGCGGTCGACGGTGGGGCTGATGATGGGGCGTCGGAGATCGGCGACGGGGCTGAGGATCCTGTGAAGATCGGCGGGGAAGCGGGCTGTGGCGGTGCGGTGGTCGCTGGTGACGGCGGGATGTAGGTGTACGTTCTTGATGGCAGGGGCGGCGGCGGTGCGGCATCGGCCGCAGGTACGGCGGAATGGCGCTCTCGACCACCGCGTTTTGCTTGGGGGTGTCGGGGGCGGTGTACTCGCGCCGAATGCCAGCAGCGTCGCAGAACGAGGTGAACGCGGAGCCGGTGAACTCGCCGCCGTTGTACTTGCGGAAACACCCCGGAGTGCTCATGCCGTTCATGTCGGCGAAGAACCGCTGCACAAACTTCAGGGTGTCGCTCTTTGGCCGCATCCCGTACCCCCGTTGCCACCGCGACGCGCTGTCCACGAACATGATCAGGTACCGGGAGCCGTCCAGCGCGTCAGAGAACGGGCCCGTGAGGTCGATGTGGACTTTGCCGAACGGTACCGCCGCGAGGGTACCACGCCGCGGCACCGGTTCCCGCCTGCCCTTCGCCTCCACGCAGCCCACACATGGCTGCATCTCCCCCACCAGTCGTACGCCCTGCTGCTTGGCCGTTTCACGCATCAAAAACTCGTTTGCATGGCCGGTGGAGGCATGGAACAAACAACTGTCAATGGTCGGCGTGGATTTTCCTACCGAAAACGGGCAAGCACCGGGGGCGATAATCGCCAAGGCATGCGAGAGGGAGGGGGGAGCTACGGTTTGCTGCTCACTGCATCCAGCAACAAAACCCTCCAGGCAATCCAATTCATCATTCATCACGGCAAACGCGGGGGGAGGGGGTGTTGCAGAGTCGCAAACATCAAGCGCACCCGGAAAAAAATCACCCTGTGGGACCGAGTCCATGCCATCCATCAGGCCTACATCAAGGAGCGTGCTCATATCCATGAGAGGCAAATGGTCCTGGGGGATGAGGGGGTTGATCACAACTTCACGAAAATCGCTCGGGTCAACGACGGAGGGAGAAGCAATCTCAGACGACGCTACGGCAGCTGTGATTACAG